GTCCATCAGGAGATGAGTGGATAGAACAACTATGGGACCTTTACACAATGGAATACTACTTGACCACAAATAAGAAGAAAATTTTACACTTTGGGACAGCATGAAGGGGGCGGGAGAACATTATACCAAGTGAAACAAGCCAGTCCCAGAAAGACAAATATGATTTCACTCATATGTGGACTCTAATGAATACACTGAACTAACAAGCAAAATAGCAGCAGACTCATAGAGAGAGAGCAGGCTAACAGCTCTGGGAGGTAGTTAGGAGTGGAGGGATTGAGCAAAAAGGGAAAAGACTCGTGGATGCAGAGAACACTGTGGTGATTGCAGGGGGGCAGGGGGGTAAAAAGGGGATAAAAGGTAATGGGAAAATACACTAAAACGTCTGAATGGCTATTAATAAAATTACAAACCACAAGTGTTGGCAAGGGTATCAATAGAAGGGAACCCTCCTCATGCATTGTTGGTGAAATTTCAATTGGTGCTTGCCCTGGAGAACAGTATGGAGGTCCTCAAAAAAATTAAAAGATACAACTACCATATGACCCATCAATCCCATTTATGGGCATTTACCCCAAGAAATCCAAGACATTAATTACCAAAGACTTATGCACTCCTACGTTTATTGCAACATTATTTACAAAAGCCAAGAGATGGCTTTTGTAAAGAAGAGGTACATTCACACTGTGGAATATTACTCAGCCATAGTAAAGAGTGAAATCTCACCGTGGAAACAAAATGGATGCACCTAGAGGATGTTATGCTAAGTGAGCCTCGTGAAACAGAGAGAGGCCAATACCATATGATTTCATTTGTATGTGGAATCTAAAAAACAAGATTCACGAACAAACAAAACAAAAACAAACTCATGGAGGTCAAACTAATTGTCAGATGGGTTGGAGTTTGGGAGGCTGGGTGGAAAAGGTGAAGGAGTTAAGAAGTACAAATTGGTAATCACAAAATAGTGGTGGGGATGAAAAGCAAGCCACAGGGAATATAGTCCATGTTATTGGAATAATTATGTGTGGTGGCACAAGGGTATTAGACTTCATAAATTATATAAATGTCCAACTACTATGTTGTATACCTGAAACTAATGTAATATTGAATTTCAAGTGTAATGGAAAACATTTCTGTTGTTTACAAAAAGAATAATTTCTTGTTGAATAGAATTAGGCAGCCAAAGGATAGACAAATAAAAGTCATGGTTAATAAGATGGATCAGACTCAGGTACAAGTTCTTGTTGAGAAGTTTGTCTTAGTTATTTTGTGATTTCCTAGCAAAATATAGACTATTTTGCAGATTGAGCAAATAATAGTGTTGTGTTATATTGATATTTGCCTAGGACCAAAATAGGCATTTTATCCAATTTGTTGGAGGTGTCATGAGAATTGAGACCTGAGAGTAGTTGTGGGAACATTTTTAAAATTAAAAAATCTGCAAGAGTTCACCTTTAGATAGTGCCCCACACCAACTACTCTTTGGGATTAGTGCAGTTGCAATGTAAGGAATTGCATCATGTATTTTAGGTCTGGAGAGAAACCTGACAGGCCCTCTATCGAACTCAAAGAGAAATGTATTGCAATCAGGTACTCACCCAAAACCAAATAATCGTATAGGCCGTAATATCGATGATCTCCATTGGAGGAAAAAGATGAAGTGTGAGATGCTGAATAGGAAGTACATTGTTTACTGTGTATTTATTTCTTATGATCTCATTGATCCTTTCATTGAAGCACTTATCAAATTATATTTTCTTATAGTCTTTAAACTTATTTTAATTTTTCAACTACAGTTGATATATAGCAAAGTATATATTTACTAACAATCCTGGACTTTATTAATAAAATGCTTTATAGCATATATGCCTTGTTCTGTTTTCTCGCAGTTAAGTGTCTGCATCACTCCAAATGAAGTGCTAAGAAAAAAGAAAATTCAGAGCAGTATGTATAATAATTTAATTTGTGAAGGGGAAAATATAAATATGTATACTATATATTTATATATTCTGGAATTTTTATTCAAGAAGCTGCTGTGTGAAGCTCAGCTATCAGAGGATGTCCCACTGTACTGCTGAAAGCTTTCATCATGAATATGTATTATTAAACATTTTTACTTTAATTTTTTAAAAAATGTCTGAGTTTTTGAGGAACTTCTGCATTTTATTTCCCCAAAAACACAGGCACAAATTGCTTTCGACCCAAAGGTGTGTAACTGACCAAAGTTCAGCATTCTAGTCAGGAAAATGAAAATGAGGAATTCTGCTGTTGGTGAGATTAAGACATAGGGAGAGAGGCAGGTGAGAAATGTAAACTACTTAGCCTTTCTCCCTTTGATTTAAGTACTGAAAGAAGTATCATTGTGATCATTCCCAGAAAGCCATTCAGTTACAAACAGAAATTAGAATATGATGGAAAAAGACCATATTAGGAGTCACCCATTAGAGAACAAAATGGGTATGTGTGATAGCTACCCACTGTCATGGTGAGGGCCCTGCATTACATTTACTGTCCCAAAATGAACTGTGCTGGAACCTTCACAGCGAACTTTCCTATTTCTCATAAAGCATTCTTAATGAAAATGACTGAGGTGTAGCTACAGGGATGGGCTTGTGGAACAAACACAGGATGAGATCTTTTAACGTTGTTTCCAAGGCTACCTTTTTGCAATAGTGTTCTATGAGATTTGGTAGCAAAAGGATCCCATGATTAGAATGTTTTGGGAATGGTGAATATTTTATCCCCGTGTTATAAATTTGCAACGTATTCTTTTGCCATCAAAGACGTAAGATTCCTAAACAATAACGGAAAGGCTAAACCAGAAATCCCGCTAATTTGACTGATACAAACAAGTGTGTGTGCATGTGTGTGTATGAATTCCTTTTTTACTGAACACCTGCCAGTATTTTTGTGGCACTGGCTGATACTGAACACAGTCTTGGAAAGGCTGGTCTAAAAGTTCAAGACCTGCAAATTAACGTGAAAACACTTTCAGGCCAGAAGGGAGGCCTGTGGTAGCAGCCTTCCTTAGTCTCCATTTCCATGCAGGCAATTATTTGTTTTTATCCCTCATACTCTTTCATCTTTATTTTCCTTACAGAGGAATCTGACCGAGAGACAGAGAGAAAAATGTCATTTACTCCTCTAGAGTAGGTATTTACTGTAAATAGTTATGGCCTAGCCTGGTAAAGTTGTGGTGATAATAAGAAGACATACTAGCTTAGGCTCTCTTGGGAGCAAGTAAGACTTACTAAATTAGAAGTGGATACCTGAAACCTAAAGGCAGATGTACAGCCAGGCTCAGGAAAGGTCTGGAATGCAGCCACATCATATCTGATTATGCTGTCACTGAACTGGTTTTGAACAAAGGGTGTCTCCCTAAGCAAACATTTTCAGAATCTAGTCTGGAGATTCAAAATGAGCTGCGGTGCTGAAAATATATATGCATTTTTATACATGAAAAAAAATATATATATATAAAACAAATGAAAGAAAACATGCAGAAGTATACGTATCGGTTTTCTCACTGCAGTGCGCAAGCCCAGCATTGGTGACTATGGAAGTCACTCCTCTGACTCTCGGGGAAGCCAGCCTGAGGCTCACTTGCCATTGTCACTTTTGTCCAGTGGTAGCTTCTCAGGCATACTCCACCCTTAGGACTTCCAATAACCTCATCTGGCTACACAGACTTAACGATTAGTTTTTGCATGATTTAATGAACATAAACATTTCATGTAAAGCTGTTTATGCCTTTATTTTAGCCCCTGCCCAACACCATTCTTCACGACTTCCTTACAGGCAACCAGTATCATGATTTTCCTACTGTTTTTATTATGCTTTTACCATACACGGGCAACCTACTTAACCAGGGCCCTACCTGACCTCACCCTCACGTACCTACATTGTTTATAAGGGGAGATTGATTCTGCCTCTCCCAGGGTCCCATGCAGTACTTCCTCCCTGCATCCAAGGTCCCACGGAATGCCTCTCCCTCCATCCAGCGCCCAGGGAATGCCTCCTCCCTCCATCCAGGGTCCAGTGAATAAGTCCTCCCTCCATCTAGGGCAGAGGTGGCAAACACAAGGCCCGTGGGCGGAATCTGGCCCTGCACCTTGTTTTTGTCCATCCCAGCACCTTGTTTCTACCCTGTGCAAGTAAGTGCTCAGCTCTGGCGTAACAGTTAAGGAGTAGTAACATTTATACAGCCCTAAAAATGCCTGCAGCCCTTTCAAGGTAACCACCAAGCTGATATGTCCCCTGGTGAAAGTGAGTGTGATACCCCGATCTAGGGTCACACAGAATACCTGCTCCCTCAGGGGGGACCGAAGTGTACCCACTCCCTCCATCCAGGGCCCAGGGCATACCCCCTAACTGCATAGTAAAGAGTACAGGGGATACCTCATCCCTCCATCCAGGGTCCCACAGAAACCTCCACCCTCTGTCCAGAGCCCCAGGGGATGCCTCCTCACTCCATCCAGAGTGCCAGGGAATACCTTCTCCCTCCATCCATCCAGGGTCTCAAGGAATGCCCCTCCCTCCATCCAGAGTCCAGGAATTACCTCCTTCCTCCATCCAGGGTAGCAGGCAATACCTCATCACTCCACTCTGGGTCCCAGGGAATAAGTCCATTCTTCATTCAGGGCCCAGGGAATACCCCCCCACCCTCCATCCAGGATGCATGGAATACCTCCTTCCATCCAGGGTCCCACCATATCCCCTTCCTCCATCCATGGAGATCCCAAGCTGCACACGATGGGGCATGGGTGAGTGAAGAGAATCTCGCACACTTATTTTGAAACTAAAAGAGTGACAGTTTTGCACACACAAACCGATGAAACACCTTTAATTATTTAGCGACCAATAACTTCAGCAAGTACGGATAACACTCGAACATGAAAACTTAACTGGACGTTTCTTAGGGCAGGCAATATGGCAATAGGCATGCTCTGCATGGTGACCAGGGCAGGTCACCCCGTGGCTATTCGGCAGACAGTCACGGCTCAGTTCTCGCTGTCGCCCAGAGTGAGCTTGTCAGAGAGGGACTCTGCCAGGCCATCGTCCTGAGCCTCCAGCTTGCGCAGGTTGGCGATATGATCCCTCAACTCTCGCATGAACATCACTTGTTCAAACAGGTAGCCGCCCTCCAGGAAGTTGCAGACGTGGCCGTGCTTCTCCTTGGCCACCTGGTGCAGACCCAGCAGGCTCTGCTGCACTCTCTTCGCCAGCTGCAAGGCGCACTCCAGGACCCTCAGGCCATTCTCCCAGTTCTCTTCCTCAGGCATGGGGATGTCCCACAGGCGGGGGTTGCCGCCACGCTGGTTCTGCAGCCCCAACAGATAGTCCACGTGCTCCATCTCCTTCTTGGACTGCTGAAGGAAGAACAGGCTGAAGTGCTTCAAGGCCACGTCTCCACGGTCGAAGTAGGAGGCCATGGACTTGTACGCGAAGGAGGCGTGCACCTCCAGGTTGACCTGGTTGTTGATGGCGGCCTCACACTCGGGGTGGCAGTTCTGGTGCACATGGCAGGGCGCGAATGCAGTGGCCATGTCTGGTAGCGCAGGTGCGGGCTGGGGGCACCGAAGCGAAGAAGAGGTCGTAGAAGCGTAGAAGCGGGAGCTGGAGATGCGGAGTAGCCTCTGAGCGTCCCGGGTGAGTCAGCGGCAGTGCACAGGGGTGGTGTTCCAGCGGTCTGCAGCAGGCGACTGGTGGTTGGCTCTGAGATGGAACCGGAAAAGGGAGGGTGGGACCTGAAGACGGAAAAAAGTGACCAAGTCTCGCGAGTGTTCTGGAGAAGCGCAAGGAGGATCCTTGGGGGAGGGTGGTGAGCTAAAGGTATGCGGGGGGGTGGGGCATGGGGGGTGGAGGGTTGGATGGTGGGAGGGGCGGGTTCCGCGTGGGTGAGGCGGGGAGAATCTGTTCTGACCTCTTGATATTTAATGTTTTCAATTTTGCAATAATATCTTCATCTTGCAAGGACTTTGTCCTCTAATTCCTTCTATAGGAGACATTTTTATTGTATAGATCCATTTTCTTCCCTTAAAGTTCTGAGAATATGAATTTGAATTTTTGGTAAAATTCTCTTCTGTTTTCTGTGTTATATCGGGGTTCGCCCTGCCCGGAAACAGTTCTGTGTATTCCTTGCCTTTTTTTCTTTTATCTTCCTCATACTTTTGGGAAACCTGTGTTCCTTTATAGTTAGGAATAAAGGACTTATTTCATCAACCGAGGTAATGAGCAGGCGTCTGGTCTGGAGTTGTGATGTGTATTTCCCTACAGGGCGTCTGCTGCAATGGAAGCCTGGAGTGTGCTGAGCTACTCAGGGGGTGTTCCTTTGAGCGTACATGGTATGGCTTATAGGTAGGACAGGGACATTCCTTCTGACCAAATTAAATATGATATTTCTGACATTGGGAGACTAATACTTTTTTCTTCTCGGTAGATGTGTCCTACTGTGTCCCTTCTCTGGAGGTCTGAAATGTCTTAAGCTCATTGACTGTCTTAGGACTGTACTTTGGGCAGATTAAAGGTGTCAGATACCACAGTTGAATAAAATCCACCTGTGAAGCCGTCCAGTCCGGGGCTTTTATTTGTCGGGTGTTTTTTTTGTTTTTGTTTTTGTTTTCTCTAATGACTGCTTTGATTTCCTTAACTTTAAGCCATGTGTTCAAATTTCCAGTTTCTTCTTGATTCAGCTTCAGAAGATTGTATGTTTCTCAGAATTTATTCATTTCTTCCAGATTGTCTAATTTGGTGGCATATACTTGTTCATGATAGTTTCTTTTGCTGCTTACACACCTGAAAGATAGATATTGTTGTATCTGTCTCATCGTACTAGTGGGTGGGTGATCCGTGCCCACTGTGGGTAAATAACACCTACTGTGCGTGAATGAGTCAGCATGGCAGGACTGGCACCACTGTCTTTAGAAAGGCCTCCTCTGGAGGTTGGGCCTTCGGCCTGGTGTCTGGGAACTTTGATTTGGGCAGATTCCCAGCTTTCCTAAATGATGAGAATGCCATTGTGCCTAGAGTGGGTAAACAATATACTTTATGGTGAACACATGTTTCTTTTCTGTGTATGAAGTCTTGGTACGTGCTAAGCCAAGGGTGCCTACACACCCAGCCCCCAATACACACCAGGAGCACTGGGTCTAGGAAGAGCTTCAGGGCCTCAGAGTTGTCTACATGATGGCTCCACTTGGATGTCCAATGGGCACCTCAGATTTTAAATAACATGGCAATCCCTCCCGGGGACAAAAGTGCTCAAATTAATAAACAGTGCTACCATCAACCCAGGTATTCAATTCTAATCACCAGAACCTAGATTATTTTCCTCATGTCCCACTCTTCACCTCTGGCCCATAAGCTGAACTTATCAGCTCATCCAGTCCCTGTGGAATTTGCCCACCTCTCTTCATTTTCTCAGCCACCACCAGAGTTCAACCCCCAGTGCCTTTCACCTGGATCAGCTAGAAGATCTCTTAACTGGCCTCCCAGCTTCAGCTCTCCCCCTCCCTCTACATTCTTGAAAGCACTGAGTCACTGATAACGTGCAGGGGAATGTGTGCTACTTCATATTCAATACCAGGAATTTGACGTTCAGCCTTGACTTTCTACTTTTTCCTACTATGGAGATAATTTCGTGTTTGGGGTATCATATTGTCCCAATGGAAGAAAGAGGACAACCCAAACAAAAAAGTATATGTGGATGTTTTGTAAGGATAATATTCACGACCAGGAAGGGGATCTTGGGAAGTCACTCCCATGTCCCTCAGAAAGGCAGCCTAAGGCTCAGCTATCATTGCAGTTGCTCAGTGAGAGCTTGTGGAACTAGTAGTCTACAGGGAAGAGATCTGTGTGGCATTAGGAATGCAGCCCAGCCTCTGACTCAGAAAATCCAGTGGGGAGGGAGTCAACACAGGACACAGGCCCACAGATAGGTTCTCCTGTGGGGAATCAGGCCTACATTGTACCTAGGCTGCTAATGAGTCTTGCTCTTCCTGAAGCTCGCTCACTGTGAATTGGGGCAGCAAAAGTTTACTTTACATCTTTAAAGTCACTTCCTAAAATCTATGCTAGAGTTCCCCTGTACGGAGTGTAGCCGGTTCAACCACTTTTCCCCTTGATCTGTCACATCCTTCTCTTTCAAGTAGTTAGCAACATTCTTTCCTTTGCTATCTGTAAAAAGCAATCAGCTACAGGAAACCTGTGCATAGTAAATGAGGACCATCCTGGATATAACGTACCCCCAAAAGCAATAGAATCCTGTCCAGGCAGGGGTCCGGGCCCTCTCTCTCAGTTAGGGAACAGCTATGACGTCTGTTTTTCTCCACAGGACATCTGTAGTCCGTGTGAAGGTAGGTGTCCCTCACAACCATAACACAGGGAACCTGTGGACCGGGGTTCGGATCAGTACTCTGCCAAGATCGCTTCTGGGGTCTTCATCTTGGTACACGGTTATTGTTAAGGAAGATTAACATTTGGGTACTATCGTAAAGTAAAAACTTTCAAATAAATTGTCAGAACCTTCTAATTCTTCCCCGATCTCACTCCATTTATTGTTTCTCCAGTGGCAAGCACAGCAATAATTTTAAGGCCAGGCTTTGTATTTGGAGCATGGACATGCATCTGTTTCCATGCACCAGGGCCCCAGACCATCCACCTGACCGCTCCCTGCCATATACCACATGGTTTCTAAGGAGCAGATAACCTCTGCATATTCCAGCATCCCAAGGAAAACCCTCTCACTCCATCCAGGGTCCAGGGCATACCTGCTCTGCCCATTCAGGGTCCAGGGAATACATACTCCCTCCATTCAGGATGAGAAAATACCCCTGCCTTCCATGTAGGATCCAGTGAAGACCCCCACCCTCCATCCCAAGACCAGGGAATACCCCTCCATACATTCAGGGCCCAGGAACTACAACCTCCCTCCATGCAGGTTCCATATAATATGCCCTCCCTCCATCCAGGGTCCCACAATATAGCTCCATATTCCTCCAGGTTTCAATGAATACCCAGGCCTTCCACCCAGGGTCCTGCCTAGACTCTCTCCCCCTATCAAGTATCCAAGGAATTGGTCCTCTTTCCATTCATGCCCCAGGGAAAATACCCTGCCTCCATGCTGGACCCAGGGATTAACCCCTCCCTCCAACCTGGGTTCCACAGAACGCTCCCCCCTCCACCCAGGGACCAGGAAATAATTTTTCCTTCCATTCAGGGCCCAGGGAACACTTCCTCCCTCCAAGCAGGGTCCAGGTAATATCCCCTCTCTCCATCATGGCACCCATGGAATCCCCCTCCAGTATCCAATGTCCAACAGGCAAGCCCCAACCTCCTCCTCAAGTGTTCAGGGAATACCACCTCATTCCACCCAGCATCCAGGGAACAGCCCCTCCCTCCATTCAGGGCCTAGGAAATACTCTCTCCTTCAATCCAGGGTCCCAGGATATCCCCTCTCTCTATCTAGTGTCCCACAGAATAGCCCCACCTTCCTCCAGGGATCAGTGAATACCCACTTCGTCCTCCCAGGATCCTGGGAATAAATCCTCTCTCCATCCATGGCCCCAGGGATACCTTCTCCCTTCATCTTCAGTCCCACAGAACACCTGTTCCCTCTGTTGGGGTTCCCAAAGCATACTTGCTTCCTGTATTCATGGTCCCAGGGAATATGCCCTCCCATCCACAGATTCCTCATCTACAGGCGATGGGGTGTGTTTGGAAAAAGAAGCTCTTACATACCTGTTTTATTACTTAGAAGGTTTGGGGTTCACACACGCAAATCAATGAAACACCTTTATTGGTTTAAGAACCAGTAACTTTATTGGAAGAAATGGTAAAACTTGGACATAAAAACTTAAGTGAACGTTTTGCAAGGGCAATGTGGCAAGAGGCATGCTCAGCACGGTGACCAAGTCACCCCATGGCTGTGAAGAAGGCAGTCCAGGCTCAGTTCTTCTTCCCGTCACCCAGGGTGAGCTTGTCAAAGAGGTACTCTGCCAGGCCGGATTCCGGAGCTCCCATCTTGCGCAGCTTGATGACGTGGTCCCCCAACTCTTTGATGAACATCACCTGTTGGTGCAGGTAGTGATTCTCCAGGAAATCGCGCAGGTGGCCATCCCCCTTCTTGGTGGCCAGCTGGTGCAGACTCAGCAGGCTGTCGTTCACTTCCTTCGCCAGGTGAAAGGCACACTCCATGGCCCTCAGGCCGCTGTCCCATTCGTCCCAGGGAGGACTGCTGATGTCCTGCAGGCGGATTCGGCCCCCGCGCTGGTTCTGCAGCCTCATCAGCCTCTCGGCGTGCTCCTTCTCCTTGTTTGACCTCTGCAGGAAGAACTGGCTGAAGTGCTTCAGGGCCACATCTTCACGGTCGAAGTAGAAGGCCATGGACGAGTACACGTAGGAGGCGTGGAAGTGTACGTTGATGTGGGTGTTGACGGCGGCCTCACACTCAGGGTGGTAGTTCTGAAGCACAAAGGAGGGCCCGGACAGCATCTCCATGTCTTCAGGCTCAGGCACAGGGCAGCAAGATTAAGGCAGTGGGGTAGCCGAGGCTGCCAGGTGGGCTGTGGCAGGCACGACTGTGGAGGCTGCTGGACCTTGGAGGGTCCTGAAGTGGCGCCAACGCAAGCGTGCTCACGTGTCAGGCCTCAGGCGCTGCAGTTGGCTCTGAGTTGAGACCGGAAAAACAGACCCACCCAATAGTGCGGGGTGCAGGATCCGGTATCTGGGCGGGGCTTGGGCGTCAGAGGTTGGGGTCAGGACAAGGCCTTGTTGGCAGGGGGTGCTTGAGGGGGGCCTAAGGGGGCCAGCGGCATTGACACCTTGCAATTTGCATGCAAGCCTGGCTGACAGGGCGTCTCAGTGCTGGGCATCTGGCAGGTATGACATTTAAAAGTATTATTCAGGACTGCAAGTGCTACTGATATGAGTCAATCACCTGCTTGATTTCTTTCAGCAACTTAATTGAATATGCCCTAATGTGATTGTTTCATTAAACATAGCCCTTTTGTGGTATCACGGGTTACATTTAATATCACAAAGCTTTGTTTGAGTGACTTCGCAGGGACATGAGGACAGTTCCGACAGCCTCACTGACTTCCTCGACCTTGTTCCTCTAGGATCTCCCCTTTCTCCCCCATTCATGATCAGCTTCACATTTCGCTGGTGGCAGAGCAGGGCCTCCAGCTCCTCAGTGACTCGGGCACCTCTCCATCTTTCACTCTTGGAATTTGTTCTTCACTCGCTTTATTCTCTCTCCTGTCTTCATCTTTCAGCGCAGTCCTGAAGACACTTTTCCTTCTGCCCTCTCTGCACCCCAATGTGGAGTGTTGGTGACCTCATCACTGACCCCCTAGAGGCCTTCACCCCTTTCACCTGGTTTGCCAGTCTCTGTCCTCTTAGGTAAGCTCAGACTTCAGGTTCCTCTGGCAGGAAACAGAAGACTTAGGTACACCCTAAGAGAAAGCACTTAACCATGTGCATGTATTCATCCCCTCCAACCTCCTTTGTAGTTTCACTACCATTCAGCCAGCCTTCTTCTTTTTTTTAAAGCTTTCAGTTAAGTTCTAGGGAAGAAGCCACAGCAGTTGAGAATATCACTGATCTCAAATAGCCCTTAATTCATGCAACCAATACTTATTATCTAAAATGGCCCAGGCAGTATCTAGGGTTTGGGTAAATACAAGTAAGAAAGAGACACTTCATCTGTTCCCATGGGACTTGTATTCTAGTGCAGAAGCAGATCAAAACACAAACAAACAGAAAACTGCCGTCTTTCTCCCCTTTGCATCCCAGGTAAATACATCCAAGATATTATACATGTATGGAAATTAAAAAGAGAATGCATGTTCTTACAATTCAAGGATATTATAGTGGAAGACGTAAGACAAACCTAGGTATTTGTAACTAATTTGTTTATGATTTATTCAACCACGAAACATACATTCGAAATATGTGTTGGACACTGTGATTCTGGAGATACACAGAAGAATCAAATGTGGGTCTTGTCTCAAGAACCAGCATAGAGTGACAGAATATTGTAAGTGCTCTCACATGGTGTGATAGTTATGAATAAAATGCCTACTTTCCCGTAAAGTTTTATTCCCATAGTTTTGATTACTCTACTTTTTTTGTGTTGTCTATTTGTCTTTGGAAGCTTATGCTATTTCATTTTTCTTCAATATTTTATTGTTGTTCTATTACAAGTGTCCCGATTTTTCCTCCTTTGCTCTTCTCCACGTAGATAACTCTCATTCAGTGTTTGTGAAGAAAACAAAGGATCAAATATCACAAATTAAACTTATCTAGTCAGTTTTACAGATATTCAATTTGTTGATTATGTAAAAATAGAATAATAATGGAGTCTATTTGATATGTTTACTGTAATGACAGATCATACATTAGACATTGAAAAGAACTAGAGGATCAAGTTTCTGTTGGGGACCACATCCCCATCACAACCTGCCTCTCACTAATGATCTCTGTCATCCCTCTGCAGAAGAGAAGAGGAAACACAACAAGAAGCCCCTGGTGTAGATCCCCAATTCCTCCTTCATGGGTGGGAAATGCCCAAGATGCTAGAAGATCACCAATGGCTTTAGCCATGCACAAATGGTAGTTTTGTGTGTTGTCTGCCCCATTGTCCTCTGTCAGCCTACAGGAGGAAAAGCAAGGCTTGCAGAAGGATGCTCTTTCAGAAGCAAGTAGCACGAAAAGCAGCCTGAATCAAGAGGAGTGGGGGGCCATCCCAATAAACACATTTTGGGTAGCAAAAAGGAACTACATGATCAGTTTCTCAATGATATGAAATTTTAATCTACATTTCCTTACATCAGTGTTTAGTCTTAATGTAATTGTAGACTTTCCAAATTTCTCTGGGAGATTTCATTATAGATCTCACTGTAGGAATCTGTTTAAATAGAAGAAACCTTGCTATTGTAGAATGTTTCTCATTATGTTCCAGTATTATGTAATAATTCATCCTTATCATTTTACTCTACCTAAGGTTGAAAAGCTATCTTTTCTAAGGGAAATAAATAAACAAGCATGGGCTGGGAACCTCAAAATTCCATGAAGGAAATATGCATATTTATAAATAAAAGTATCCCCTCCAGTAGTAAATATAAACACATAATGATAAACTATAAGTTAATATTATATTTTTAAAATATGAATATAAAACTATAAGATTTCCTTGAAATGTTTGTGGTCAGTGTTTATACTGTATTATTACTAGTCAGGGTTCTCCAGAGAAACTGAACTGATAGAATATTACCTCTCTGTCTGTCTGCCTGTCTGTCTGTAAACTAAAGAATTGGCTCATGTGGTTATGAAGGCTCAAAATTCCCCAAATCTCCATTTGGCAAGCTTCAGACCAAGGAAAGCTGCTGTTGCAGGTCCAGTCCAAAGGCCAATAAGTTCAAGAGCCAAGAAGTGAAGTTGAAGGCAGGGGAAAGAAACAGTGTTTCCCACTCAAAGTCAGTTGAAAATGAGGAGTTCCTTCTTCCTCAGAGTTGGCTCAGCATTTTTGTTCTCTTCAGGCCTTCAACTGATTAGATGAGGCCCACCCACAGTAGAGAAGACCATCTGCTTTACTCAGTGGACTGTTTTAAATAGTCATCTCATGGAAAAACACCCTGACAGACACACACAGAATAATGCTTGATTGAATTATCTGGGTATACCCTGGTTCAGTCAAGTTGATATATAAAATTATCCATCACAATATTATGCATGACAAATGCAGAGTCAACAAATAAAAATTCTAGTGCCATAATTGGCAAAAACTCTGTTTTGACTTTTGGTTCTCTTCATTCTTTCAAAATGCTACAGATCTAATAGTTACACCACTGATTTTAGACAGTAAGTTCTGACTCAGTGTCAGTGATGAGCTTTTATTCATTCATTCATTCACTATATTTCTATTGAGTACATATTATAATGCAGATATTTGTATCGGTCCTAATATAAAAACCTGTTCCACAAACTCCTCACATATGCCTTTTTTGCAGCTAAGCATTAATCAATGTTGTATTTAATCTTTTCTTTAAATATTAATACGTGCAGTAGGCTTGACGATATATTTACAAGGAAGCAGATCATAAGTAGCAGCAATTGGTGATTTACTCTGTGTGTGTTTGCATATGTATGAAACTCATTTAATAAAGCAGCAGTGAAAAGTGAGAGCAATCCAAAATCAGCATTATCTTATCCATCCTTAATATCATCTGTCTCTGGGCTGTTGACACTCTATTACCTCACTGTTACAGATACTCTCTCAGTTAACTTTTCACCTTAACCAGCCATATTTTACAGATAAAGAAGCTGTGAATTTGAGAGCCAGTAACATGCTCCAGCATGCACACATCTTGTAATTAGCAGCCAGTGACACTGTGATCTGGATTCCTCTCTGGGTAGTTTGGAAAGTTTGGCTGCACCATGAGCTCCTTCAGGGCAAAAACTGTTTAACTGCTGTGATACTAAATTTCACATAGTGGGGGCTCAGAAACACTAGTTAAAATGTTGAAGTCCTCATTAAAAGCTTTATTTTATTATTTCTCATCATGTCTCATTAATTCTTCAAATAATGGAGTTGGACTGGATATTGAATGTGTTTAAACTGGGTTTTCTTGAGAAGGAGAAAATCAAAGACACCCAATGGTGACAAATTATTCTTATAATTTTTCTTTAATATGCACAAACATAAAACTAGGCATAAAAATCTCTGTGCTTAAAGGCATGCCTATATAGATTTAAGGCTAACAATTTACAAAGATATGCAAACAAAACTGTAACATTAAAATTAGGAAGATTCAGTTGCAATTCAGATTGTGTTTTTTCTCTGAAACATAATCACTTCTGACTGAGAACACATTTTCTGTCTCTTTTCTTTTTGCTGAGATTCAAGTTCTCCTTCCTGTGCCATGCCTTCATTCCCTGATATGTGTGGGCCATCTCAGGTCTGGGCCACTCTTCTTTATGAAACAGTTGGCACACTTTAGCTCTCTGGAAGATTCATGAAGTAAATTACCTTTCAGGTAGTGGAAGGCACTATTTAAATATTGTCTGTCTTTTTTATTAACTTGTGAAAAGGAAAGTGATACTTTACTCTGATGTAGTTATTCTGGTTTCATGAAGTAACATTAAAGGTCTCACTAATTTCAGTAACTGGAGGTGCTAAAGTTTTGTTCTATTAAAAATATTATATAAATTATGTAAATTAGCCTACAGATTCGGAATGTCTTGAAGCTGTAGATAATTTGTTTCACTAAAATTGAGTAGTATTTCCAAACAAGTTAGGCAAAAAAGTACAATCATTATAAAATTTGTCTATGCCTCATAGTCATATTGACCTTGAGTGCTAATACAATAACTTTTACATGTAATCATTTTTGTTCATGATTGGACATGAGCAATTTTTTCTCCCATTTTTAATTTTTTTTAACTTTTCTTTCATACTCTCAAATGTTTATATGCTCTTTTTCTCATTCATA